GGACGTAAGCATATTGTCGAATCTCGTTAAATCCTTAGTTCACTATTTTGATTCTTGTGATATTTTTCTCTTTTTACTCAACAATTGGTATCACAACAAGGTTTCAGGGCAGAGGAGTTCGGTGCAGGAGGGAAGAAAAAGGAAGGCTCGGGTGTGACCTGACTGAGATGAAGAAGATCGCGGGTGGTGCGGTTTGGCTTAGACTCGAGATAAAGAAGATTGCGGGAGGAGCAAGTTGAGATGGAAAAGTCAGGTGCAAAATTCGAAGTGGTGAAGTATGTTAGAACTGACAACTTCAGATTGTGGCAAACAAATGTGAGAACTTGTTTACGCAACAAGAGATTTTGAAGGCTTTGTTGGTAAACAAGATAACATAGAAGACGCTGATAGGGAAACTATTAGAATTGTTATGGAGTATAGTTGTAGGTGTAGTTCATTCTGTTGAATCATCTGATGTTGATACAAAATTGTGACACATGTGTCTTGGTCACCTTAGTGAATGTGAAATGAATGAATTGGGTAAGAGAAATCTGTTGCATGGTGCTAAAGCTGCAAGCTCGATTTTTATAAGTTTTGCGTTCTTGAAAAATAGACTAGAGTTAGTTTCATGACTAGAAAGCACAAAACTGAATAAATTCTTGATTATGTGTGTTCTGATGTATGGGGCCATACTAAAGGAAACGTCATTGGGAGGATCTTTGTATTATGTTACCTTCACTAATAATTTTTTAGGAAAGTTTGGGTGTATTTCTTGAAACATAAATATGAAATTTTCGCCAAATTCATGCTATGAAAAGTTGAAGTTGAGAATTAAACTGGTAGAAAGATCAAGTATTCGAGTTTTGATAATGACACATAGTACATAGATTTGTAGTTTCAAAAATTTTGTGAGAAGAATGGGATTCAGAGGCATTTTTTAATGTGCAAGACACCATAATAGAATATCATTTACAGAAAGGATGAACAAGTCTTTAACTGAAAAGACAAGAAGCATGAGACTGAATGCAAAGCTTCCTAAAAGTTTCTGGGCAGAGACTATGAGTATGACATGCTACCTCATCAATAGATCACATCGGGCATCATTGAGTGGCAAAA